AGGATATGGGATGCTATTTACAAAGAGAACTGTCCAAAATGTATGCAAATGTGGTCTTTCACATGCTTGTTCCGCTTTAGATATACTGGTTTGATCGACCATGTCAAGTGTGACTAATAATTTGCATCTGAGCTGCTTATTTTATTTCATGACAACCTCCGTGTTTATTTTTTTTTATTCAGTGCATGTGTGTTCAGTGAATGTGTTTATATGTGCCAGTCATAAGTTCACTACATATTGAGATATATGTCAATTGTAGCTACCTTGTCTTCTAAAGTAATCCAATATGCATGGCATATATTGTCCCATCTGTTGTTCTTTAGTGTCCTGCAGTGTAGTGCTCTAGTTGCATGCCTGTTCCATTAGATGTCCTACCTAACATGATAGGTAATCCTAACACTTCAGTCCTGCATCAATAAAATAATTTTGATACAAGTTTTTCTAACTACATTTTTTCTTCAGATCCCTCTGAAGAACTGTGCCATGAGAAGAAGGCATTGTACAAGCTTATTTCAGGGTTGCACTCCTCAATTTCAGTGCATATTGCTTATGATTATCTTCTTGATGAATCTACTAACTCAGTACGTGACCAAATTGTCCACCTTTGTTTATTGTTTATTGGGCTAAGTTTCATAATTGTTTTGACCACTTCTAATGTAAATGGACACAGTGGGGACAAAATCTTCCTTTGTTGTATGACCGTGTCCTGAAGTACCCAGAACGTGTCCAGAATCTGTACTTCACCTACCTGTTTGTTCTTCGGGCGGTGACAAAGGTTCCCATTTCTTCCTTATTTAATACCTATTCATTTCGTTTCCATGCAACTGTGGAAGATAGGTTTATTTGTTCAAAATTTGTAGTGATCTAGTGGATAATGATTTGATTTGGAATCTTTCAGGCAGCAGATTATCTTGAGCAGGCTGAGTACAATACTGGCAATCCTGAAGACGACTTGAAAACAGAATCTCTTGTGAAGCAATTGCTTTACAATTCCAAGTTAAGATCCGCATGTCCATTGCCTTTTGATGAAGCCAAACTCTGGCAAGGCGAAAATGGTCCTGAGCTAAAGCAAGAGATTCAGAAGCAATTCAGAAACATTAGGTTTGTGACATATTTCCTGTGTTCTCATTTCATAAGATGCATATGAACCACTTGAATCCTTACCCAATGTAACATTTTCTTCATTAGTGCAATTATGGACTGCGTTGGATGCGAGAAGTGCCGACTGTGGGGAAAGCTCCAAGTTCTTGGTCTTGGAACTGCACTGAAAATTCTTTTCTCCGTTGATGGAGACACTCATTTGAGTCAGCCAGTATGTAGTTCATTTCTCAAATACTCACTACCACTACTGCCATATTATGATATATGCTGCCATGCTCATTTCGTTTTGAAACATTATCCTCATTTTAATTTCCTAACACTTAATTCATCTTGATCGCTTACGTTTCCTCTAGAACCATACATCGTCTTTAAAAAAGAAGGAATGCACTATGAGTTCTATGCTAAATTGCTACAAAGCCAACTGAAGCACTGTGAATTCTTCTTGAATTGACGAAAAAATATTCTAAAACCATTAGTATATCTTTTGAGTTCATTTTGTATGTTTAAGTGGATAATTGTTTAACAATACTTCCTTCCTGGCGATTGATCAGTTGCAGCTGCAGCGAAATGAGGTCATTGCATTGTTCAATCTTCTGAACAGGCTCTCAGAGTCTGTTAAATTTGTACATGAAAAAGGATCATCAATTGAAGAAGTCATTAAGGAACAGAGCCCTTCAACTTTTCAAAAGGGTGCTTCCAAGCCGAATCTTAAACTGGTATTTTCCTCCCCTCGGTATTGTATTGTTTCTTGCATCCATCCCTCGTAATCTTGCATTATTTGATTCTCCTGCAGGACTTCCTCTGAGATGTAAGAGTGTAGTTTGTAGTTATACAAGGACATGCCGGAAGATTAACATAGACATGTATGGATATACCGAAAGATTAACATGTGCTGGAAGCAGTTTCCTATATACTTCTGTCGCAGCTCTATTCGAGAGAATGAGAGATACAGACCCTTTTGAGCTAAATGCGATGACACAGTTTACCTAGTTTTTTCCTTTCTTTCATTTGGTTGGTTCCGGCACTTCAAAAGTTTCCATTTATAGTGTTCCTCCGCTGTAAATCGAAGGATCTCACCTCCTCTGCGTTCGCCATGATTAAGAGAGGATCGCCCAGTATTTTCGTTCAACTTGTATTAACTTTGATCACCTAACCACAAAAGCTATAGACACAAAAACTTTTTGTCGATCTCACTATTCGTCCTCGAGGAAAGGAATACTGTATTTCTTGACTGGCTTTTCTGTGAAGTGCTGGGTGTACAGTTGTAACAATTGGTACAGCCCAGAGCAGAGAAAAGGTTAATAAGCCGGAGATTCGGTAGCTGGACACTTCTCTGGTGTGATATCGAGATGGAAAATGCTTAGCTATTTAGAAACAACAAGAGGTTTCTTTCAATTACTGGATAAGATGCTCGGTTAAATCTTGTGTGCAGAACTGTAAATCATGTACCGGAGTACCGGACATGAGCGGGATGGTGCTTGAGGTACAGAAGTTGATGCCTCAGCCCCACCACCGGCAACACAGTAGATTCCTTCAGAGTTCAAGCATGGCGATGGAGCTGGGACATGGCGGCTATGTCGCTGGAGAGCTAGTGGGTTACACAGTAGTCATGGATTCATGGCGCGGAAGGCATCCTTGTATATGGCTACTTTTGCACAGATATGACTGCGACTTTTGCACAGATATGGAGCAGAGAGATAAATCACAGAAAAGGCTGTTCTGAAAAAATCCGTTTGTACACATAAAAAATGTCTCTGTCTGCGCGGCGCTGGTATGGCACAACAGTAACAGTTCCGGAAGTTGCAGGAGCCAGCACCCAGCAGGCAGACGCAGACCAGGAGCCGGACGAGAACACAGAACAGGAACACGAACACGAGCAGAGTTACAGAGCGTCGCCGGTGCACGGCCGGCCGGCGGCCGCGCGCCCCGGGAGACCAGCCGGCCGGTCGCGGACACGGGCGACGCGCGTACCCCGCAGCCGGTCAAGAGCACGGCACGGGCGCACGGCCCCTCCCCACCGGAGCGCGTGTCGCCGTGTCGGCGCTGCGGGTGCGCCCGCACGGCGACCGCTGTGGGTGCCTGTGTACCCTCTGACGCCTGTCCAGGCCGGCCAGCGCGCTCACCGCTCAGCGCTCACGGGCGGCCAGCCTGATCCTTTGGTCCAGCTCCTGCAGCCTCACGTACGTGCGCGGAGGCCCGGCCGTGGCGTGCATTGGTTGCAGTACAGTCTTACGAAACAGCGGCGGTTGGCTGCACATTGCAGTACTGTACTGCTGGCCATTTACGGAGAACGAAGTAACACTCTTTTTCTTGAAATATATACAAGGATTTTACCCGGAGTTCACGATTAGGATTAGTAAAATGCATCATGGAGCCTGTGGTCAGAAGGAATAGACATCTCAGCGCTCAAAACTGTCACGGGTTCGGTCCCAGAGTGCTCCCAAAACGAAAACACAGGGAAGCCGGGTGCCATACCCAAACAGCAGCTGAACTGTACTGTAAGCATGTGCTGTGGACTCCGCTCACAGACTTGGCATGATGCATGGAACTGTGCCCCTGAAGTGGTTAAAATACACTAGCTGAGGATGATCATGGGCGGTGATGCTCTGACGGACTACTCACTGGGCCAGCAGCAAGCTTTGTTTGGGCTCGTGACATTGACAAGCCATCCACGGAAGGCGACGACTCATGTCAGCCAGAGGAAATACTGAAAAACAACTTGATGTTTTGGATGCCACCCCACGTCCCCACGCCACAAAATGGTGCCTTGGCAGCACAGCACTGAAAGCATTTTTTGAGACGAAGTATACCGTTCCGTTCTTTTGGGCTTGTTTGGCTGGTTAATCATGGCTGAAAGTACTATTGGTTGATTTGGTGTGAGAGAAAAATATTATTCGTTGACTGAAAAAAGTACGGCTTATAAACTAAACAAACCCAAACGAATAGGGTGTATGAGTATATACGCACGCGTACGAGTATACACGCACGCATATGGTAGGGCAACGTCACTTATCCGTGTCCTCATACTCTTTGGAGCTGGAGTTCACGCAGAATATGTGGGGCCCCAGATGCTTTTTTGCTTCTGGCATTGGCATTGGCATGCAAACAGCAAGATGGCCTGTCCAACGGCAGTAGCAACCTGTGAAGATCCTTTCTCGATGTCATCATGTCCTTAAACCGGTTTGTTTCTTGCTGTATACTAGTAGTAGTAGTAGTAGTAGTAGTATAATAAGGAGGGGTTCTGCTGATTTGCAGATGGAAATTTCCCTCGTTTTTTTACCTGTTTGGCTCTTTGCCTGGAACCTCGAGATGTGATGGATCGGTGATGCTATCAGCTAGTATCTCGTGTCATGGTGCACAGCAACTTCGAGAGGAATTTCTCGGGAGTTATGTGCGAGCACACGCACGAACAGCGTGCTTGGAGACTCTAGCGACGACACTGACTCAGCGCGTCCACGTGGTTGGTGACGCCCATCAGCATTCCATGTGGACTTGTATATACTCCGTATATAAGTACAAACATGAAGAAGTAAACTGATAGTAGTAGAACTGGTAATAAGCAAACCATAATTTACTCAATTATTACCTTGCGCTGATAAAATTACAAATGAAAGATTTACACATCCAACCAACAACCTGTGAAACTTATTTATACAGAGAGCGGCTATTTACAAATGAATCTTCTGAATTTTAAACAACAAACGAATTTCAATGTGCAACATACACATACATGAATTTAATATCGTGTCATGCATATAGACGCTGCAGATAGTACTAGTTATTACTGGCTTGTTATCTCTATGATAGTTTTATCTTAGATAGTTAAACTGGTATGATGGGAAACTGAGCTGCATCTTAGATAGTTAAACTGGTATGATGGGAAACTGAGCTGCTGCTTATCACGGGCAGCGCCGTCCAGGGTTGTTAGGATCGAAGGTGCAGCCAGAAGGCCCCGCCCACAATTTCCTCATCACCACGGCCGACTTCACTGACGCCAGGACGCCGCCGTAGCCGTTGGTGCTCTGCATCTGCTGCTGCTCGCCTGCCGCCGCTGTCATCAGAGGCCTCGAGGCACCGGCGCCGTCCGATGCCGACATCACAAGGGCCAGGACGATCAACAGCTTCACGCACGGCCCTATCTTCTGACCAACTGCCATGCTTGACGTCTTCGAGAGGGTTTTTTCCACTGCTACAGGCAGGGATCAGGGGATCGGAAAGGAGCAATTAACTATAAGACTGGCTAGCTGCTACGCTTAACTGTCGATGGCTACTGCTTCTATAATGGTGGTTGTTGGTCGATCTGCAGAAAAGCTGCGAGAGATCTTTGTGAATTGTGAGTATAAATACACACGATCTCGAGCTGCTGCACGTTAGATTTTTCATGCTAACTGCAGTGAAGTTTCCTGCGAATTTTGCTCAAAGTCAACTAGTATCAGCCTAATGGGTACCATGGGGTCTGGAAATTTGTCAAACTAGGAATTGGTCTGTGCGTGCGTGCGCTGCACTGAACCGAGTGGGAATTGCCACGGTAGCGCGTGCCGCGACAGTACACCATGCCGTACGTACAAGTGGCGCCGAGTAGTTCATGTTCAGGAGCTCGAGCGTCATGTATATATGGACCGTGTAATTTTGCTGCGCCTAGCTAGCTAGGTGTATAGTATTTTACAAATGAAAATACGAAAAATTAAACAAAAGTCCCACATATGCAGTGGCGGAGCCAGCAATCCTAGAGCCTGGGCGAAACAACTTTCCCGTGATGCGTGGTAGCGTGAAGCCGTGGTGGCGCCCCTCCGACTGGACCTGTTTCTCTGTGCTGGGCCTTTGGTCCTAAAATGCAGGTTGCGGGGGGGCCCGGGCAGCGGCCTAGGGTGGGCGGGCCTTGGCTGCGCCCCTGGTTTTGGGATTAGGACTACCCTTAATCCCTTATGGCGTGTTTGGCTCGCTGTGCATCACACCAAAACAGCAGGCCAAACTTGCAACAAGATTAGGAAGTGAACCAAACAGAAGTCTATACTTTTGTGGTGAGTCATGGCAAGTTCATATAGTGATCCAAAGTGACCCCTGGTCGACTGCATATTGTCAGTGTTTTGTCACCGACATTATGACTATGGGCATTATGCGCAAGATGAAATTAGATGGTCATCGGACACTACGGTCTCTACTTTCTGAATTGCAGGAGATCAGTCAAGTCAGAAATCTCTCATTCATCAAGATCAGAAGAGAGTCAAACAAAACGGCTGACACACTTGCCAAAAAAAGCAAGGTGTGCTAGAATCCCAAACGCTTGTCTTCTCTCTTGCCACGCATTAGCACATTCACCAATTGGAACATTTTCGAATGGGGCAATCTTAGCCCTATATCTGTACTTTGTTTGTGATGCAATTAAAATTTAAACTTTTTAAAAAAAGATGGTAACACACAAGGCACGAAGATTCATAGAGATTTAGCCGCTTGCATGGAGGTATCGCCCTGTTCGTTTTGGCTTGTTTGGCTTATAAGTCATGGTTGAAAGTACCGTTGGCTGGTTTGGTACGAAAGAAAAATATTGTTCGTTGGCTGATAAGCCATGGCTTATAAGCCAAATACAACCAAGCGAACAGCCTAATGACCCCGCATCATGTTTTGGTGGATTGTACATATTGTGCTCGTAGATTAATAGTTGAGTATTGGATACCAAACCAGGGCTCCCTATCCCATCTTATATAGCCTATATGGGTATGTTACAGAAGCTGTGTGTCGGGGATCAATACTAGGGTACCTGAAGAGGAGGAGCTAATGGTCATCAACATTGATTCATCCGAGCAGTCAAAAGCTCGACTACAGCTCCGACCGACCCCCAGGTGCGCGGGCTCCGCCTCGCCCGACCCCTTGGGGGCGGGCTCTGTCTCGTCCAACCCCAAGGACGTGGTTTCCGCCTCGCCCGACCGCAAGGACGCGGTTTCTGTCTCGCCCGACCCCTCTGGTGCGGTTTCCGCCTCGCCCGCCCCCTCGAGTGCGGGCTCCGTCTCGCCCGACCCTAAGGACACGGGCTCCGTCTCGCCCGACCCCGAGGCCGTAGGCTCTGTCTCGCCCGACGGGGACCTATACCGCCGCCAACCACTCCAGGTCCAAGCGTATAGGCCTGGGTCAAAACTCTGACACCAGGGAAGAGACTAGCACGACTCGATGTAACCCATGGCCATAACGGGCCATACCTGAGAATTCACATCAAGAACAGCGTCGGGCGTGCCGATGCTGTTCTGCCTAACCCTCGTATGAACGATGACAGACGCGTCAGTTCACCACGACGTCCGCCAGGACGGAATGGAACGCCATGACCGGCTGACGACGCATGCGCATGGCGTCAGTGACGAACAGGGCCGCGACGTGGAGTCGTCCCTGTTGACATCTACAAGATCGTCGGGACCCGCGTGAAGAAGAAGAAGGACCCGGCGATCATGAAGGCCTCCTTCTCTCTCTCGTTCTTCTCTTTTCCTCCGCTGTAACCCGCACTTTCCCTTGGCCTATAAAAGGGAAAGCAGGGCGTCCCATAAAGGGGTCCGATTCAAGCCCGATCGATCCATCAAAATTCGATCCAGATCCACACAAGAGCACGACACGAGCACCCGTGCTGAGCAGCAATCGAGCTCTCAGCACCCGTTCACTTCTTTTACCAGAGACTTGGGATCATTTCCCTCTCTCACTCCTTTGTAACCCCTAATACAAACTTTCAGTGCTAGTAACACGAGCTAGACGTAGGGACTTTCTGCCCGAACCAGTATAAATCTCGTGACCTCTAAGCACACCATCCGAGTCAGACGCGCAATTACTAGAAATTTACTCGTCGGTGGTAACTTAAAACACCGACACCGTGGGTCGTCCTTGATCAGTTGGCAAATATATTTCATAGTCAATTACAACAATATCTCATGGATATCTGAAATGCAGCCTATCACGAACTATGTGCAGTCGACATGTCCTATCTCATGTCCAGGGGGTCGATATGCACGTCATGGTAGCATTGTGGGCCTTATCACCCAGAGTAGCCCCCGATTCCTTCACGCCCAAGTTGTTGAGATCTTGATGGTGTCCATGGCTTACCCTTGACATGTCACATTAGTTACCAAATAAGTTTCATTATCAATTACACAAATATCTCAGAGATATCCGAGATAGAGGCTTTCAAGAACTATGTGTTGTCGCCATGTCCTACCTTATGTCCCCCCCGGATCTTGATGATGTCCATGGTTTGCAGTTGCCATGCCCGAGTGCTCCAATTCTTCCCTTGCACAAAGTTTCCTGAGTGATGTCCAACTGGGTGCGCCTCTCAATAACTTGCATGAAGATCATGGACTATTCAATAAGTGGTTGTAGAACAAAAAATAAAAAACGTCAACCGACTTCCCCACCGCCATCATATGACTTTTGAACTGTACGACTTGCTGCTGAATCCAGACAACCAGACCAATGGCACATTGCAGCATCGAGCTAATTCATCATAGATGTCGTCTATCAGTCTGGCTTCACGACGATCCAATCCATGGATGGCAATGTCCGACCGGGACGTGTTAGGATGCCGCGTGAGGGAATCGACGTGCTCCGCCGCAGCCGCGCGCGCAAGTGCATGTGCATGTGCCTTGGCTTGGCCTTGGACGGGGCACCCGCTTCACGTGCCCGGCCGTGGAGCGACACGGCCCGCGGGCCGGGGCGCACCCGAAGCACGCTGCTCCGCCGCCTCGGGGAAGGGGGTGCGCCGTGCGCGGCTGGCCGCGGCAACGGTACACTGCCTCTGCCTGCGTCACAGGCAGGCCAGACCGGCCGCCGCCAGAGGCCACGACCACGCGCGTGGAAAATCTCATGGTCTTGTCGGATGCGCCGCTCTGTTATTGCTCTTCCTCTTCCGAAAAACTATTGCAGCTGGCACCAAAAGTTACAGCCTAGCGGCCGCCTGGACGCCGCGCACACGGTCACATGCCATGCCATCTCACACACGCTCTCTCACCTCTTCCCATGCAGCAGCATGCATTGCCTCTGACCGATGTCGTCTGTGACTGTGAGACGCTGCGTCATCTCTGATTCGTCTCCTCTCCTCGCACGGCCGGCCGTGTGTGGGCGACTGTAACTGTAAAAGCGGTAAAACGAGACCCGGTTTTCACCTTTTTGCCGAGTTACCACTTTACGGCTGCCTCCGGGTGGTACGTGCGGTAAAAAGCCTTCAGCCAAAAGATCTTGCCTTCATCATTGACACGCATGCAGTGCTGGTAGTTTTGCTTTTCTTTCTCTTCCTCTTCGGTTTTTGTGGCCTGTGTACAGTAGGCCGTGCAACAAACACGTCCGAGTTTTTTCGCTCACTCCATCACATCAAATCTTTGACACATGCATGGAGTATTAAATATAGATAAAAAAATAACTAATTATACAGTTTGATTGTAAATTACGAGATGAATCTTTTAAGCCTAGTTAGGTCATGATTAAACAATAATTATCAAATACAAACAAAAATGCTACAGTGTCAAATACTGATTCCTATCAGCTATCTAAACAAGGCCAAAGTAAAAAAGGCTGTTAGCCGCAGCAGCAGTCGTGGTGGCAGAAGCATGACTTCCAGTTCCACTACTGTCACGGGCTGAACAACTCCAGAGACAACATCGTCCCGCCTGCGTTTCATTTCAAACGTGCAATCATCTGCCGCGCCGCTGCACCGAGCTGAAACCCCCACGACGGCGGGTCGGTCGAGCGAGCATGCGAGCGGCCACGAGCCGAGGCCGGCCGCCACTGCCAACATCCGACGGGCACGGGCAGCCGAGGTGGTGGTGGTGGTGGATCCGGCGCCGGGCAGCCGGGCCTCTATCAGTCTGATGGATCCAGCTGAAAGGGACGTTGCACCTGGGTTGCGATGGTCCCTGCCCTGCCGTCGCGAGGGGCACCGCGGCGGGGCCGTTTGACCGTCCGATCGATCAATCGCCCACCAAACAGCGCGCGGTGGTTACCAAGTTCAATCACAAAAAAGCAGCTTGCGTACAGGTCTCTAATCCCATGATCGGGACCAAACGAAAGCTATAGCTGCTGCTGAACCAGACTTTTAGACCCTTTTGAATTCCAAAATGCACAAGCTTTAATTAGATAAAAATCAAGAGTTAAAATTCCACGGTGCACAAGCTTTTGAATTCCACAATGA